TAACGTAGTGATCGATATATTACGATTTTGGTTAGTTCGATGATAATCGATAATTTGATCTATATCGATTTCTTACCTATTATCGATAATAAGCAATTTATGATATATATCGCTAAATAACAAATTAATCGATGTTTAGCATTTAAATTTAATCGATATAAAATAATTAAGCGTTATATATCATTATAAATCTACTTGAAAAAATTCGTAATACAGCCCAATTTAAAATAAGCCATTACCATAGCACAAGTAAATTATTCGAAATATTACTAGTGAGATTCGAACTCAATACTATAGCCAACAAACTTGGGGTGCGACAACTCCACCACTATGCTACATCACCACACCCTTAGCATAATAACTTATATAAGTTTATACTTATATATTTTGCTAATATAATAGCTTAAGCAAAAGTTATTTGTTAGTAGAGATAGCAAATGTTTTAAAATAACATATTTTAAAACATGTTTTAAATGTTTTAAAATATTTAAATTTTTCAATAAAAAACAATAAAACCCAAATATTTATTTATTCAACACTACTATTCTGCATCTATAATGTTTTAACACTATAGGTCTTTATTTTTCAAAAATGTACTAAGTAAATGAGATCGGGTATTCTAAGTAAAAATATTCAGAACTCCCAAAAATCTTATAAAAACTAAAATTAAAACCTTATATTTAATATATAATATATATAAAAAAAAAATTTTATAAAAATGCACTCTAATCCTAAATTTTAGTAAAAACAATTATATATAGTACTAAACACCATAGGTATATTTTATATTATTTGTATTTAACTTATTAGATTATAGAATTTTTAATCACATAATTGTGTTGTATCTAAAGTAGTGATATCTAACAAAACTAAGTAATACTAATTGTCACATAATACAATATATAAAAATTAATATCTATTTAGATTTTTGTAAGTAATAGCATGTAATAATTAGCATCATATGGTTTCATCAGGCATTACTAATCTAAAGTAGCCATATATCTAAAGTAGATAGATCAGTCATGGCATAAAAATATTACAGTTTTATAATTACTACAGTTTTATAATTACTACCTTTTTCTAATATAATAATTCAAATTATGCATTATATTTAAAAAACTATCAATATTTTAATATAATGTATAATCTAAATTTTTGAAACAAAAGCGGTTGGTGATCACAAAACTGTGATATTTTTATAACACAACCAGCCCACCTATTCTTTAAATATCTAACAGCACCTAACTAGAATTTCATATATAAAAATTAAATTTTAGAGCTTAATATAAGTCAAATACTATATTATTAGCAACTTAGATAGATTGCAACTTCAGATACAACATTTTTGTATAACATTAATAAAAAACACAAAAAATGTTTTAAAGCATGTTTTAAACACAAAAAAATAAAAAACATGTTTTTTGCCATCCCTAGTTGTTAGCCCAAAATTTATTAAAGCCAGTTAGCTAAACACGATTAAATAATTAATAAAATTTTTTTGGCAGTTTCAATTCCTGATTATAAAAAAATAAAATAAGAGAACAAGTATTTCCACACCCTGTAAGTTATAAATTTATTATGAAATTATAACAATATCAAATACTCCGGCAATCACTAGGTTTTCTTGTGTTTTTGAATCCACGGATGCTTTAAAACATCTTTCAAAGGTAGACGTCGTTTCGGATCGCGTTGTAGTAACTGTGTTTGTAATTAGAAAATTAAAATAAATAACTTTATTAGTCAAATGCCTTAGGTATTAAAGAATAGTTACCGAACAAATCAAGTCTCTAGCGTCGTATGACAAATGATCAGGAAGTGTGAACTCAACTTTTGCTATTCGTTTATATGTTGCAGTATGCCCAGTTTCTTCAAATGGTGCGGTTCCAGTCAAGAGTTCGTAACACAAAACACCAAGTGACCAAAGATCAATCTTTTCATCATGTTCTTTACCTTCAACCATTTCTGGTGGAATATAATCCAAAGTACCACAAAATGTTTTACGCCTGACATATAAAAACAAATTAATTAAATATTCTTTAAATGCGAAGTGATATGACTTCTTTTACAGAATACCTTTGACTTGGTGTATGCACAGACCACCCAAAATCTGCAATCTTGATTTCGTCGTTCAAATCAATCAACAAGTTTTCTGGTTTTATATCTCGATGAATAACGTGTTTTTTGTGAATATAACTTAATGCTCCAGCCATTTGTGCAATATACTATTTTAGAAAAAGCTTGTAAATTTCAAAAAAAACATTTTAAGTACTGAATCTATTCAAAAAATTTAATAAACCAACCCTTGATGCTTTTTTCTCTTTAAGTCTACCGGATTTCACAAGTTGTTTATAAAGCTCTCCTTTGGCTGCATATTCAAGGATCAAGACAAAATATATATTATCTTGAAAATGCCCGAGAAGTCGAAGAATATTTGGATGCCTATCGTATTTAAACATTTTATTCGCTCATTAAAAGATTATTATATATTTATATATATATATATTTAATTATTTAAATTACCTTAGATTTGCCTGAATTTCTACTTCGCGTCTTAGTTGTCTTTCAGCATTTGCTTTAATTAGTTCATGAATAGATAGCACCTTCAAGGCTACTATATAGCCGCTCATTTTTTCCCTTGCAATGTAAACACGACCAAATTGTCCTTTACCAATACCACGCCCAATATCAAAACTTTTTAAGGACATTTGGATTGGTGCTCTATTAGATATATAAAATGTTAATTTATACCGCACACGTA